CAACAGAAAAACTGTCTCCAACATCATCGTCATCAATATTATCATCTGTACAAAAGTTATCTTCAGCCTCACCGTCACAAATATTATCATCAGAAACAGCATTGGCACCGTCAACTCCGTCGTCAATAGTTTTACCAGCTCCAACGTTGTCACTTAAAGCATTGTCGTCAATAGCATCAGTGGCATCAAGAGTAGTAACATTAAAAAAACCATTATCGTCATTAGCGTTATCAGTGGCAGCAGGAAAACTGTCTCCAAAATCATCGTCATCACTATTATCATCTGTAGAAAAATTTTCTTCAGCCTCACTGTCACAAGTAGCATCATCAGAATCAGCATTGGCATCGATAAGTTCGTCGTCAATAGTTTCACCAGCTCCAACGTTGTCACTTAAACCAGTGTCGTCAATAGCATCAGTGGTATCAAGACTATCAACATTAATAACACCATCATCGTCATTACCATTATCAGTGACAACAGAAAAACTGTCTCCAACATCATCGTCATGAATATCATCATCGGTACAAAAATTATCTTCAGCCTTACCGTCACAAATATTATCAGCAGAAACAGCATTGGCACCGACAACCTCGTCGTCAATAGTTTCACCTACTATAACGTTGTCACTTAAACCATTGTCGTCAATGGCATCAAGAGTAGCAACATTAATAAAACCATTATCGTCATTAGTATTATCAGTGGCAGCAGAAAAACTTTCTCCAAAATCATCGTCATCACTATTATCATCTGTAAAAAATTTATCTTCAGCCTCACCGTCACAAATCGCATCATCAGAAACAGCATTGGCACCAACAACTTCGTCGTCAATAGTTTTACCAGTTCCAACGTTGTCACTTAAACCATTGTCGTCAATAGCATCAGTGGCATCAAGAGTAGCAACATTAATAACACCATCATCGTCATTAGCATTATCAGTGGCAACAGAAAAACTGTCTCCAACATTATCGTCATCAATATTATCATCGGTACAAAAATTTTCTTCAGCCTCACCGTCACAAACGGTATCATCAGAAACAGCATTGGCATCGACAACCTCGTCTTCAATAGTTTCACCAGCTCCAACGTTGTCACTTAAACCATTGTCGTCGATGGCATCAGTGGCATCAAGAGTATCAAAGTTAATAACACCATCATTGTCATTAGCATTATCTGTGACAGCAGAAATACTTTCTCCAACATCATCGTCATCAATATTATCATCGGTACAAAAATTATCTTCAGTCTTGCCGTCACAATTTCAGAAGCTGGTAATTTTTCTTATCTACGCACTTTACATGTAACTATACATTTTTCCCGTTTTTCAGTACTTTTTGTGGTTCATGAACCTCGATGCAATTTTCTTCGTCTTAGGCAAATGATACTATTTTAGAGTTCGGCAGCCTAAATATTACCGACTAAAATTCCTTGGAGGCTTGTAGGTAGTTTCAACGACTAAATTTAAAATACGCCTTTTAATGTAAATGTAGAACGAAAAAGCAGCTGTCATGTAAGCGCAAAAAATATCCACGCAAAGACGATAACCCAGATTTTTTTTGTCGGTGATCTTTTCCTTTTTTTTCTTTTAATGGTAAAAGCCTTACTCTCAGAGGACCATTTTAAACTCATATATAGACAAAAATTTGATCAAACGAAAATATCCTATGCGGTATTACTTTTTTTAATAGCTGTTACTTTTAAATCGCAGGCGCCTGTTAATGCTGCCTTTGCCAAGTATCACAATGAATTAGTTTACATCTTATTGTGATTATCCTGGGTAACGTTAAAAACCTGAATAATGTGTATTATATGGACCAACAGGAAGCTGATAATTTGTTTGAAAACTTTACCACTAAACATCAAAGCATGACCCGACAACTTCGTCGTCAATAGTATCACTAGCTCCAACGTTGTCATCTTGATCACTGTCAAAAAAATCTTAGAAGCTGATAATTTTCTCTTATCTATGTATTGTACATGTAATTATACTTTTTTCCGGTTTTTAAGGCTTTTTTGGTTCATAAACATCGCTGCAATTTTCTTCATCTTAGGCAAATGATACTATTTCAAAGTTCAACGGCCTAGATATCACCAACATCAATTCCTTGCAGGTATGTGGTTTCAACGACTAAATTTAAAATCGATTTTTTAATCTAAATGGAAAACGAAAGAGCAGCTGCAATCTTTGAATCGATTTCTGAATGTGGCATAAGATATGAGATGTAAGCGCAAAAAATATCCACGCAAAGACCGGATTTCTCTTCTACCCATGGTTTCAAAGTAATTAGTACCCAGACTATTTTTGTCATTGATCTTTCCCTTTTCTTCTTTTGATGGTAAAAGCCTTACTCTCAAAGGACCATTTGAAACTTATGTATAAAAAAAGATTTGATCAAACGAGAATATCCTATGCGGGATTACTTTTTTTAATAGTTGTTGCTTTTCAGTCACGAGCGCCTGTTAATGCTGCCTTCGCCAAGTATCACAATGAATTAATTTACATCTTATTGCGATTGACCTGGGTAACGTTAAAAAACCTGAATAATGTGTATTTTATGGACCAACAGGCAGCTGCCAATTTGTTTGAAAACTTCACCACTAAACATCAAAGCATGAACCTTGGAGAAGGACAGCCTGAGGTAGAAAAGCTCAGAACGGAGTCCATTTTTAAGGTGGCAGTTGCCCTCGAGAAATTTGTACTTAGGTATGGCAAATACCATTTACGTGAAACAAACCGTTCAAAAAGGATCAGTTACCCTCACCGAAACATGCGTGAGTAGATACATGGTTGTATTTTCAGATTTGTGATAATGATCATTTATTCGGTAACTGAGTGAGCGATTGAG